ACATCCTCAGAGCACAAGAACGGTCGCTGTTGAAATAATGTACTCTGTGCTCCCCCCCGCCCCTTCGAGCTAATCAGCGTTAAAATCTTGTTCTGCTTTGCGAATGGTAGGCTCTACCATTCTGAGCTTGGTCCAATGTTGTCCCTAACAGTGGACCCAGATGGATTATCTTTTTTCGTTTCAGTGAAAAACTTGGAAACTGGCAGAAGTACCCCTGGAGCAAAGATGTTTTTTGGACATGAAATAGTCAATGGTGAAGCATTTCTTACTGCATATTAAGGGGGCGGGGGGGTGGGGGGGGGGGGGGGGTGGGTTTAGACACTCTTAGCAGCACTTTTCAAACTAGTTGTGGATGCCGATGAATTCTTCAGATGCACAACTGCCCCCCCCCAAATCTCTAGGAATCAGAACATTTTATGTATTATAGAACTGCTCTGAACCCCAAATGTCTTCTAAAAAATAACTAATTCCGTGCTTGCGTGAAGGTCCTATGACTGTACTGTGTTAAAACTTGGTAGTTAAATAATGAATGAAATCCTGTAAGACTAGTTGGAGTAAGCACGTATCCTGTGAAGGACTTAAAGGCAGGTTATGTTTAATGTATATATTTTTATTTGTGGAAAACTCTCAGTAAAGGACTGCTAGGAAGTTAAATCCCTGAAAACAATTACTCTTTTTTTTTTTCATTCAGTTGCAGAGATAAGCATCTGGGTTAACTGTCAAGAAGTTGCTTGTTGGTGCTAGAATATAAATTATGTGTTTAAATTACAGTGGAATTGCTGGATGAACCAGGTTCAGGGAAGGGAACTGCAACACTCTCAAAGTATGTTGAAATTTTACTTATTTCCTTCATGATAGAAGAAAGGGTGGGAATGTACTTGCTCTACCAGCCAGCACCTGTGCTTCATCTCTTATCAGTGTTCTGACTTAGCTATGCCAAGATTGTGTTTCTGTGCGCAGAAGTAGCAAGAATGTGATGAGTGGAAGGCCTCCGCTCTTCAAAAGCTTCTCTCAAGCTATTGCTTATTATTCCTTATCTCTCCTTCCCTGCCCCATTAATTTCCTAGGTAGAATAATTTGCTTTGTTTTTGTTTTGTTGCCTTTGTTTTTTTTTTTGTCAGCTTGTGGTTTCAAGGAGGGGTTTCCCACGAGCATTTTTTTTTGTTTCTTTGTGGCTGAACAGTTAATGGACAAATGCACAAAGCAGTTAGGTTTATGCAGAAGCTTCCAAATGTACATAAATGGCTTTGGGAAGCTGGTAAAAGTACTCTACTTTGAACTCCTGCAAACCCCTGCTGTTGGATGGCTTTGCTTTGAGTCTTTTCATAAGACCCTATTTCAATAGTTAAGCATGAGTGAAGCAGCGTCTGCTGAAGATTCTTTAAAATACAGTTAGATGGCACATGTCATTGTTAAAAACAGCAACCTTCTTCCTGGCTGCTGTCTTGTCTCCTTACTCCATAAGTATGTGTAATTCAGTACGCTTACCGTAGTAGCAGATTTATTTCTGTATAATTTATTAAACAGAAGTCTTTAGATATAACGTTCTTCAACTTTATCTAAGGGCTGGAAAGTTCTTTGTTTTACCCTATTGACACAAGACAGCCATAACTGGATTAGCATAATAATAGTATGTGTTTTTAAATCAGCATAAAGGAATTTATATTAATAGGGCTTCCTTTCCTGTGAAGTATGCATGAGTCAATGTTCTGTTGTAAGAATGAAGCATCTTATGTGGCATGTCTCCCTGAGGTAGTGTTTGTTACTAGCTCTGTTTAAGCTTTTCTTCGTTGTCATATGCTACTGTTTCTGTACTTATTAAATATCTTCCATAAAAAAATGATGTAACTGTTTAATGTATTTATGAACATGTTTTAAATTAACCTGTCTAATCATAATATTTAAATAGACTTAATATTTTTTGATTCAGTGTGAAGATTTAAAAATAAGTATGTGATGTCTGGACTCAAGCCATATATTCCGTTCTTTATGTTGTTTGTACTTTGGCCCTTTCTTCTTTTGCAAACTTTATTGCTGATAATTGCAGCATACATCTCTTCAAGTTCTACTCTTACATTCTGCTTTTTTTATCTGAAATATTCAGTTGGCAAAACAAACTCTTATTGTTGGATAGCTTCAAAGATTCCCCCTTAACAGACATGTACATTGGACTGGGAAGTTCATTCACATGGGGCAGTTCATTGTCTAGCAGC